TACTCAATAAGTCAGTCATGCGATTGTTATGGTAGCGTTAGTACGAGAAAAAACCTAAATATTAATAATAAAAAAAACAATAAACATTTGTCTCCCCCGCGCGCGCGTACGAGTAAAAAAAGTGGTCATACAAAATGAGCTGAATATGCAAACGAGACGCAATTGACCCAAATTTCCTGTTGAGTGTGCGATGACTAATTTTGAACATTTCCAATAAAAACTCTTAAAAAAAACTGGTGACGTTAAGCACAACTGGAATATTAAACGACGTGAATAAAAGACATAAATGGCAATTGTAGAAATGTCGAACACATCGAGTCAAAACAAATAGAGAGAACATATGGAAAATATGTCATTTTTATTAAAGACGTCGCCATATCTCTTCTCTCTTCGTTAATTGCAAAAGAAAAGTGACTTTTACGCAAATCGCTCTTTACACCGTTGCCTTAACTCGTAACATGTGTTTGTTTCTTCAGCTAATTGGCAACGCTTTCGTTTACGCCAAAGATCTTCTTGCGATAAAGTAAACAGCACATGGGTAAATGACTAATGACGTTGCCAATAACCTATACTTATATATTTGTTTCACAATTGAAGATCAATCATTAGAAATTAATCATTGGTTTGCATTGATTTCGGCCCTAAACTACGTCAAAACTTATCGCATCTTGTTAATCGAAAAAATCACTTAGCAAAAATACTCGGAAAACTATTGCACCAATTGTTTTTTATATCGCAAATTGACGTTCAATCAACGTAAGTTGCCCAAAAGTCCAGCCGATTTTTGTGCCAAATGTGATTGAATCCAATGATTTCGATACAAAATGATTGGATCACGTCTTTAATTCCCGGAGCCCAAAACGATCGTAGTCATAAATAATTGGGCAAAAGTGAAATCGATTAAATTTGTGTGTGTGATTGAAAATGTACATTGTGTTTTTGCAAACGGTACTTTACCAAATATGCGAGTGATTTGTTTTTTTTTTCTCGTCTTCATTGTTGTTTCTTTAAATTAACGACATTGTGACTGATGTTGTCTTGTCAATTGACCGTGTTATGATTCGTTGGCCTTATGCAAACATTGGACTTCATTTTTTCTTTCTCTTTGCCGTTTATTAATCGATTTTGATAAGCACGGCAATAAAACCTAATAGAAACCCTGACGAGGAAAACGCAATTAATCTCCACACAATGCGACCATATGATTCACAAATGCATCGAACAAAAAATGAATCGCACAAAAATTTGTTCATAATCCCCAATCGTGGGCTTTTGTTTACCTCGTTGATATTTTTTGAAAAGAAATGTGTGTTTTTTTTCGGCGTTACATTGCATTTGGTTCTGCTAATCAGCATGCCCCTAACTTGTTACCAATTTCGTACGCAAGATGAATTTGCAAATCAGACGCCATTCAAAATGGGCTTGAGTTTGTCCACACTTTGGTTTTGAATGAAATTCAGTTCGGTTTTTTTTATTAGAGAGCGTAAGCTGGAAAGTGAAGCCATAACTTGAGTCACCCAAATCGGCGATGCCATTGAATAGACATCTTTTTTTCATTTGCATATTGAATTCTTCACAATGGCGAGAACAAAATAGAAAACATTTACTTTCAGGCGATATATAAATAGAGCCATACAAGTCGATCGTGTTCGTGTACCAAACACATACACATTCACACAGTGTAATAGCTTTGTTTTCGATTCATTGAAAATCAAAGCGATTCCATGTGAGGTTGACGTTGAAATGGAAAATACACAAGCCATGCCCGATCGCGCCGTATATATTTATGCTATTTGGATCCGTCCGTTTTGCATTTCGAAGAGAAATAAATTAGCATATTTGCTATAGATTAATGTAGATTACCGTAAATTGGACTGAAAAATGAAGTGAAACAAGCCGATCAGTTTCGCTATGCGTTATACGAAGTGAGCGTGTGTTTTTCTTGTGCGGGCTGCTCATTTGAATACAGAAAAAGAAGAGGCCGATAAAAAAGCGATCGGATGCGGACTTTTACTTACGAGTTATTTTTAAGTGATATTGGTCAATTGAAGCTGGCCAAGAAGAAAAACAGCTATAGAAATTGATCTGCAGCCCGTGGATCAACATGGGCGGCAATTGTATAAGTATACATTGTATGAATCACACAATCACCGCTACCATTATTCGGTTGCAGTGGAAAATGAAATCAGCATACAATATTTCAACTGCATTTCACTCGGACGTGAAGATCAAAGTCATTACATGCATATGTAAACCGATCGCATGTGTGCTTGTGCACAATTAATAATACTTAATACATGGCCATTATCTCGATCGATCACATGCGAATAGCGTATGGAATTGTAATCTAGCGCAATCAGTTTTTTTTTGCATCTCGTTGCGATCACGGACAAAAGAATAAGGAAAACAGTATTCCGACCGAAAAATAAACATTATTATTGTTAGCACCCAGAAGCAAAAATTATATGCTAGAAATCAAAACGGCACAAGAAAATGTTAAATGTCACACAACAAATGCTGCCAAGATTTATCTTTCGCGGAAGTTTTTTTTCTTCTTTCGTTTCGTTCCTTCTGCGCTCGTTCGGCGCGGTGTGCAAAATTTATTGTGTGCGATTAACATTTGCATTAGGCCACTTTTTGACACAAATTCACACACCGTATTGTTTGGCACAATACAGATTATGTTGTTTTTTTTCTCTCTCTCCTTCTGCTTGTGTGTTTTTTTGTGTGTACAAAGTTTTTTGTTTCTGTTATATGTTGCAATCTAACATATAGAACTGTATTACAGAAAGTCGTGTGGTCACGGGAGTCTTGAATTTTATGTTGTGTTTCTTTTTTTTCTCTTCATATTATTTGTGCCATTCCGTGAACATTCAAACGAAACCGTACATTTTCAATGTTTCAAAATCCGAAAGAGATTTTTACACGAACTCGAACCAATTTTCGACGTAATAGCCATTGTTTTGTGTCGTGGACGAAAAGATTTAACAAGCGCACAAGTCTACAGCAACCGTATTGTCCGTCAACAGAACAGCGTATAAAATCAACAACAACTGCAACAACAGTAACAAACATTCGCAGGGCATTCGATTACACAAATGAGACTCGGACATTTGAAATTGTGGCTAATTGAAATTGAACCCAACTCGGCGCATTCAAAGCGGCCGTTTTTCTTTCTTTTCGTTTTTTTCACGATAAGCTGAGGTGCAATCTCAATTGATACTTTTTTTCTTACTTTGAAATGATATTGCGAATGACTCGCATGATATCATCCAAGTTTCACCATGTTTAGAAAGTCGCGGAAATGGAGTTTTTTTTTCGTTTTGCATAAAAAAAATACAAGTTGAATGAAAAATGTATCGATTCACGTCACAAAGCGACATATTTCATTTCAAAAGTCACAGTGGTCGTCGTCGTCGTCGTCAGTAACATCGATATGTATCTCTTGTGATTTTTGGCGGTAAAATAGACAAGAAAAAATCCTCGAAAAAAGACAAAAGAAACCGTATGGAAATGTTAAACAAAAATCTTGAGAAAAGTAAAACAATCGGCCGACACATACACCGAACCTAGCATGGGTCGAACTGCAGTCCATTGTTTACATTAATTGAATGAGACCGGTTAATTCAAAGTTTGTCTGTGAAATCTATGCGTCTATATCGCGTCTTGGTGGGTCGACTCGCTCATATATATTTTTTGTTTCGCTCTGTAACATTTAAGCGAAACAATTATTTAATTAAATGATAAAGTTTTAGTTTCTGCGAAAGTTGTTTTTGTTTGGTTTTCTGTCGCTTAAGAAGAGTTTAACAGATTTCTTCTGTTGCTTTGAAGGTTTTCAAGTGAATAAAGCCATTTACTGCATTATTTCAATTTAATTTTCCCAAGACAAATTTTATGCAACACTGAATATGCTTTTCTCTCTCTCTCTCTCTCTCTCTCTCTCTCTCTCTCTCTCTCTCTCT